CAAACATCAAATCCTCTGCACGCTTAAGAGTTAATTTGTTCCGCCTCAGTGAATGGATAAAAGAGAAGTACTCCTTTGATGTTTGTGCAAAACAATATTGTCTGTGTGGTAAATATTGTTTGTGCACACAGACAAATAATTGTGTGTGCAACAAGAAAATATCGTCTGTGCACACGAGCACTACACATATATAGATTGATTTGCAAGTTCGTATTAGTATCAGATGATTGTCAATGTACTTTTTACACGAAAATTAATGTATGTGGACTTTCACGTGAATTAATAAAGTAAAAACTGTGTGCTTGAAATTTGTGCACAGAAAAAAGAATTAACTTTAGCCACATATTCCTTACTTTAAATGGAAATGACAAATCTTTTTGGGACATCCAAAAAAAGAAATTTGGCCAACCTTTTCGGAACGAAAGGAGTATAAAACTTTTTCTCCGTGCTCAGAGACAAGTAGCTACCAATTGTTTGTGGCCTACATTTCATGTAAAACTATGTATAGTAGTCCTAGCATTTTTGTTTTACTCCCTCGGTCCCATTTTATCGGTCCTACTTTCCTTATTGGGTTGTCCCAAAATGAGTGTCTTCTTTTCTTTTTTGGAATGAAATATGTGGCTCACACCATTTCATTTTATTATACTCAAACCTCAACCACAACTTTTACTTTGTCAACTACTTAATCTGTCAGACTAACGCAGGGACGAAGGTAAGTATTTATTTTATACTCCCTCCGTAACATTTATATCTTCCCACTTTCCTTTTTTGGATGTAACATTCATATCTTCCCATTTCATAATCTTCCAATCATACCCTCAATAATTTTAAAAATAATACACTATTATACCTACTTTTTTTGGATTTATCCTTCATTCCAACACATTATTTCACTATCGGACCTAATGGGAACATATATATGTTACGGAGGAGTATGCAATTCTTATCCGGGAGAAGGGCCAAAATGGACACTAAGGTTTTTAATAAAGCTCGGATATGACATTAAGGTTTTAAGTGGACCAATTAGACACAAGTATAACCTTTTACCTTAATTTCTACCCACCCACTAACTCCCCTGTCAAACGACCGTTACCTGCGCCTTAAACGCCCCCTTTCCCTGCGCTTTAACATCGGATGAGCCTGCCCCTGCGCTACAACCCTAATAAATACAACCCACCCCCATAAATGCATCGAACAACCCTAATGCATTTTGACCTACCTATTAAAAGGCGTTGATTCAGTCCATTTAGGAAGAAGGAGGAAAAGAATAACAATGGGGGAGAGTTCGTCAGCATCAAGGCTGTTAGAGAAGAAGAAATCCAACTCAGTAGAATCAGTGAAGTTTCGTGGGAGTATGGAGCGACAAATTTATGGATGGACGAGGTACTGTAAGTGTAGAAACGCAAATGGAAGCCCTGTAAAAGCGTCACTTTGGACATCTTGGACTGACAACAATCCCGGAAGAAGGTTCTATGGTTGTCCCTATTATGAAGTAAGCTTCAAGTTAAAATTTTGATTTGGGTTTGATTTTCAGCATTTGATTATATACATTATGTACATTGTGGTGGTTTATGCAGAATAATGGTTGCAGGTTCTTTGAGTGGTATGATGATCCTTTAACAGATAGGGTGAAAGATGTTATCAATGACTTAAAAAGGGAGAATAGAAGGCTACACACTACAATTAGGGGGCTGGAGGAGGTCATCCGTGCAGGAGGGGCTTTTGATGATGCACCAGTACTGGCATGTGTAGATACCTGCAATGAAAACATGGAGAGTGAAGTTGAATGTGTACATCGGTTAAAAGTGGAGAGGGGAGCATATGTAAATAGGAATTCTGTGTTTGTAGTGTTCTTTTGTGCCCTTGGTGTTGTATTATGTAGGATGTTTTGGTAGTTGTTGTAATACCAGAATGACATTGGTATGATTGTAATGTCAACCAAATCTTTGTAATACCAAAATCTTTGTTATGATTGAAGTGTTTGACAGTTTAAAAGTTTGTTATGATTATATTCAGTTTTATAGAATCTAGATTACAGTATTTGAAGTATAATAAGATTGAATTCCTGAAGTTTGAACCAAATCAGGTAGAACTAAAAAACTTACAAGTATGAAGAAGATGTACTATATGGAGTTTGAGCTTTGAACCACAAACTGAAAAGTGGTATGTTTTAACCTATTTACTTTGAACTGATAACTTTGAACCTATAATAAGTGAACTGATATTTGAACCTATTCAATTTGAACTGATAAACTTGAACCTATTTTCTATGAATCTAAAACAGAAAACTGATAATAAGTGATGATCATTAAATAGGAACAAGGAAATCAGAATACATTACATAGTTTCACATTCCAAAAAGGGAGAAGGCCCAAAAATAACAGTAACATGATCCTGATATAACAAAGATCAACTGATCAAAATTTTTGGCTCTTCTCCCTTCCAAAAAAGCATATGACTTGGTCTTGTTGACACAAGTACAATATTTGACAGTAACATGGTAATGTACAACCCCTAACTTAATGCTGCCACCTACTACTATAGCAAAAAAACAGGCCAACATTTATAACATCCAAAAACTGATTAATTACAAAACATCTTCTTCTTTGCATCTTCTTTAATAAGTATCATGTTGTATGGAAAGATGAACCCTTCTTCTTCTGCAACTTGTTTAACAAATGGCGTGCGGTGACAGCTTTCTTCCCATTCCATTGCAAACCGGGTGGCTGAAAGGGCAAATTGGTGGGATTTATAACTTTGACTCCATCACCCTTGAAAGCAATGGTCCTATATGCTGGGACATCAACCTGCTTATCAACTCTGCCTCCAGCTCGAATTTCCCTCTCATTTGGAATAGCAAATCTGACACCAACATCAGGGTCATGTCCCAATGGAGGCTGCATCTGACTGACTACTTGCTCACTACTCATCCCAGGCTGCATTCATTAGTCATGAAATGAATATCAAGGTACATAAACCAAAATGACAACAACAACCAATACTCTTTATGAGGATATTAAACTCACATTTACAGTCTTTGCACCAGTGTTCACATCAACATAGCATCCAAAACCTGTGACTGATTGGTTACCTTTTGAGTTGTTTGTTCTTCTACATGGAAGTTTAGACTTAGAAACACTTCTCCTATCAATATTTTCCATTTCACTTGCAGGTGGGTTCATTTCTGCAGTGCTGGTAATTGGAGAGAAAGCCACACTTGCTGGCCTCTTCACACTTGCAGGTGTACCAAGATCTGTTGGTTCATTACTTGCCTGGAGCAATATAATACCATATTACATATTGAGCTGCAATTATTAACCCCTTTTGCATATCAGATATTAGAGTTAAATCAGCACTAGTATTCAGGTCAAGTTCCTGAACTAGCCAAGTTAGAAACCACCTCCAATTGGACTTGTTCTCTTTGTCAGTTACAGCCCATGCTATAGGAACCATTTGTCCATCCCCATCCACCCCTACTGCACTCAGCAATATCCCCTCACACACACCCTTTAAAAAGCAACCATCAACACCTATTATCCTTCTGCAACCAGCTAGCCAATTCTGCCTCAAAGCACCAAAACAAATGAACATCCTTTTAAACACCCTCTTTCCTTCTTTCAATGCAGCACTACATAACTCAATTTCTGCTTTGGAACCTGGATTGCTTTTCTTTAAACATGCAGCATAGGCTTCTAGATATCCAAACTCAGCTTTATAGCTCCCATCCATCTCTTGGATTATCAGCCTCTTTGCTCTTTTACATTTGTACAGGCTCACATTTATCTTCAATTTTTTTTCAGCCTCCGCTTTAATATCAGCAACCCTAAAGCTTGGATTTCTTTGCAAGTGGGGTTTGAAATAATTAGCTAACCATTTCTGGCTAGCACTAGGAATAGAAAAGTGCCTAAAGCACTTGTGCTCAGGATTACAAACCTTTACTGCCAGCCCACAGTTCTTCCCATATTTAGATATCCACAACCTAAAAGGACAACCCTCCTCATTCATACATCTGACTGCCAAACGAGTCTTTTCATTTGGTTTTATTTTTAGCTTATACCCATATTTGACTCCATAATTAGCAATTGCTGTTCGGGCCTCATTCACATCTGCAAATGTCATTCCATTCATGAAAGTTCCTGATCCATCATTCACAGCATAAGCCTCTCTTGGTTCTTCATCTGAGGAGACATCAGATTTGGTGCTATCCCCATCCTCATCCTCTTCTTGCACTTCATTAGAATGGTCATCTGATTCATAACCATTAGGTACACCTCCAGTGTTCACTTCAGTTTGGTCTGTAAGATCTTCATTACCAATTTCAGAACCAGCCCCATCCCCAGGTTCAACAGTTTGCTCTGGGACACTACAACCTTCTATTAGGGGAATTAGAAGAGGTTCATCTAGTTGATGATCAGCATACAATTCAATATCATCAACCCAAGAGTATCTTCTAATACGATTTAACACCTTCCTTATTGTGTCATCATCTTGAACTAAGAAAAGACCATTATCCATATCCTTTCCAGGTTCTAACACATAAATATTTTTAAGAGTTTTAAAACCCAAATCATCTTTGTATTTCCTTGATATGTCATGATAACACAAATAATCAGGGTCGAATCCGTAGATTGTATCCACGTCCCCATTCACATACTGTAAAGGCTTGAACACCCACCTCCCACTATGGTTAAACCTCAGGTTGACCAACCCACTCATTTTTACAGTACAAGCAAGACGAACGAACAGAGTACCTTACAGCGTAAATGGTTGCTTACAGTCCATCATTTATAATCTTCTCTGGCGAGGTTGCTTACTGTCCATGAAAATCGATTTAGGGTTCTAAATGCTCATCCGATGTTAAAGGGCAGGGAAAGGGGGCGTTTAAGGCGCAGGTAACGGTCGTTTGACATGGGAGTTAGTGGGTGGGTAGAAATTAAGGTAAAAGGTTATACTTGTGTCTAATTGGTCTACTTAAAACCTTAATGTCATATCCTAGCTTCGTTAAAAACCTTAGTGTCCATTTTGGCCCTTCTCCCTTCTTATCCCTTCTTCTGTCAGACAGATTGTGCAAGAGTTCACAGCAGAAGCAGAGCCACCACTCCCTCCTCGTAATCCGACTAAACTACTGAGAGGTCATTCCCGGAGCCCTAACGGCGACTCCTGTACTTCTCTCTCCAGGTTGTGTGCGGCTCTGACGGCTACTCCTAGTATTCCGTCTCCAGGTCGTGGGCGGTGGCCTAACCAAGACTTTTGGTTTACCGTATTCGGGTTGTGTGCAGCAGCCATCCGTCTCCAATGACGGCATGGCGGAGTAGATAAGGTATGATATTGCTAATCTGAAACCAGTCCCTTTGCTCCCAATTCTATTGACGTTATTTGCTTCTGTGAAAATAGGTAGCCGATTTGTTCTTCCCATTAAATGGCCATATGCAGACATAATTATCAGTTCATACCCTTAATTAAGCTCAATTCACAATATTTAGACACACAATAACCAGATTCCCTTCTAGTAGAGGGTAAAAACCTGCATTTTGATATGGGTAAACTAACTATTCAATAGCATATCACAAGAAGATAGTATGTCAAAAACTATTGCAAGTATTTGTTACAAACGCCCCCCAAAAAATACAAACTAGAAAATAAATTTAGATTTCAACATAAAAGATTTCACTTTTTTTATCACACAAGTTTTCATTATATTTATACCAAATGAAGAAATATGTACACTTATGTAATTGGGAAGTAGATGGAATATCGAGAACAAATTGGTTACCTTACTGCAGTTTAGCTTAATGAACTGGTTAAATAGTGATAGAATAGAGTGATTTAATTTATAAACAAAGCATTAAATTATAAAATGAAAAGGGCAACAGGACTACAGGAGTGGGAAATGAGAGGCTTCCTTGATCTGCATGTGATTGATTGCCAAAAGAATAATTAATCAATTAAAGACATCATGGGCACTTGCAAGTTACAACGGGATGGTATTATGTGTGTATCTATGTGCTTATATTTTAATGCCCTTACTTCGTATTAGAACAGTGATACACTTTATTGTTAGCTAGAGCCTAGAAGTTGCTGATAGATTATATACATCATTGATATTGTATACAAATGTTGAAATGTTTATCGCGCTTATCGGTATGGTGGGAGGACCAGGATCAGATGTTTGATTTGCATATAGGGTTTATCAATTGATGGCTTTCTGTTATCTGATAATGATTTTATGATTGATTGGGGAGAGTCATTTACTTTCCTGCCATAATGTGAAGCATACAGTGATGGACCAGTCGGTAACCCAGTTACGTACAAAACCATTACACAAACAAAGTTTTATAGTTCACTGAAGTGTTCTTCTTGGTCTAGGTAGGCAAAAATGTCTCTTCTCAATGTTCTTTCACATTGACTCTCTGACAAGTGGAAGCACTCAAACCAACATATGTTGAAAATATTTAAGTTTTCTGGAGTGAGTTTTGTTCACCATATTTGGACCATTCCTAAAACCTTTGACCCTTTGTGTCCATCAAACGATGTTACATGTTTCGACTATCTGTTTGGTAAAGTGGTATGAAACTACTAGTTTTCTTTGTGTTGGTGGTTCACATTTTTGGTCATAAGAATGTTGGCTCAAAATTGTGACACTCATGTGTTGGTGAATATCTATCTTTTATAATTACTAATGCTCCGATCAAATAAAAAAGAAAAGATTTTAAAATCATTTTCATCAATTCCCTGGATCTTAAGCCATGGCTTTGTGGAATTAGATCATGTCTATTACCATATGCACGAGCGCCTGAACTTTGTGAAATATCTACAGTTGCATCCAGGTTTTTTTACCATTTAAAACAGGGCTGTCTATCATATTATTTTTTTAAATTGTGTATATGTAACTAACTGTAACGTCCAGAATGATCTGGGCTTAGACAGCTTACACACTGCTGAGATTGTAATGGCTCGAAGAAGAGCTCAAACTGGAACTATAACCATCCAATGTCAACCTAAGGCTTTTGTAGAGGGTGTTTTAGTTTGAGAATTGTATTCATTTCTCATTCCTCTTCGATTAACTTTAAATGTGGAAACTTGACGGCTTGACCCTTACCCAAATCACGGGCATATTTGCATATTCTTATCAAAGTATGACTTGATTAGTGACTTGGGGAAGTAGATCATATCAAGCCCATAGTACAGCAGTATGTAATAGCTTCATAATTGTAGAATATTTGTTTATGTATGAACTGTATGACAATCTTTTGTACATTTTCTCTTGCTTTTAAGATATAATAATAGTAATTGAGGTATAATAAAAATGATATAATTTTTTGCACAATGGAGGTTTAATATTTTTCCATGCCTATTCAGATAAATATGAATTATCAATTTCACATGTAGTATCAACCCATAGATTATTTACATTTGTATGTCTCGAACATTATAATTGTAGTAAATTATCTTTGAAAATCAGACTCTTCGTCCAAGCCTCCAAGGCATCTACTTTGACGAGCTTTATACTTATATGTATTGCATATATGACTTTGTGAATCATAAATTTTACAAGTTTTATGTTAGTGTATGCCTTAGCAATGCACTTTTCAATCATGCTTTAACAATTTTTTTGAACCGATACTCTAGCATTTTTAGGGCTCAAACGCTCCAACTGTAGTCAGTTGTAGTTCAAATTGAGATTAAGGTTCCACAGCCAACTATAGTTGGGACTATTTGAATTGAATTCTTATTTTCTTACGTTTTCTGTTTCAGGATGAGGACGCACTACCCAGAAAAGAGTATATAAAGTTATTCGTTCATGCTCCAGAAAAGAGAATATAAAGTTATTGCGGTCATGATCCAGAAAAGAGCATACAAAGTTATTCCCATAATGATTCAGGTAAAGCGACAACTATTTATGACTCTAAAATCATTTTAGTGTACCTCACATTTAATTTTATTGGGAAAACTGTCTAATAGATCCTTGTACTTTTACGAAAAAGTAAATTGAGTCTTCGCACTTTAAAGTTAATCAATTGAGTCCCTGTAGTGTTAAAAAAACCAAATAAGCTATTTAGCAGGTGATTAGTCGGTAACCCAGTTACGTACTTAGGATGTTTTTACTTGGACTGTAATTTGCTGGTCTTGTCTGATATGATCTGGCCTGGTCTGATCTCTTCGTATTTTTATAACTATCCAAGTTTGGTCTAGTCTGGGACAGATTAAAGTCCCAGGGCAGATTACCCATCGTGCCTCCAGGGCAGTCATCCTCGTGCCCAAGGCAGCAAAACTTGTCGTGACATCCTCCCGCATCTGTGTGAAGAATGCCTGCTGCTGCTCGAAGAAATGTTGCTGCTCCTGGTGAAGGCGGGCATACACCGCCTCCTGGTGCTGATGCATCCCCTCCCAAGAGTTGGGATACACGTATCCCTAGGAAGGGGGCTCATAGAATGCCTGCGGCTGCTCCTGGTGCATCTCGTGTCCTCCCATCTGTGGCTCATCATCCTGAATATCATCCCCTCCATCTCCCGCTGCACCATCTGCGTCCTGCTCCTTCTCCTCTTCAGCTCCCTCCTCTGCCTGCAGTGGTTCCTTGCATGTCAATATAATCTTCTCTAAAGGGGCGTGACATGGAAAAGGCTTCATGCCTTGAAACCTCGATGCGTAGCCCTTTGTCTTCTTGAGTAGGCATGTAATGTAAGGACCCGCATAAATGTTCTTTATCCGTACCATCTTCTGCCTATGAAAGAGTCCGGCTACGAGGGCTCCCATGTGTGGCCTCACATCATGGAGCATGCAGTACAAGCACATCAAGTCAGTGGTAGAAACAATGGCCGAGGACTCATACCGTTCGGTAATGGTGGACGTAAGCAAAGCATGGACAACTCTCAAACGGGGCTCGCGAAATTAAGTGCTACAGGAGTTCTGCGGGTTGTAGGAAGTGCCATCCACACAGATAGTCTGCCAGCACGCCTCACGGTCAACATTATGCGGAAAATCAAGGAGCTCCTGTTTTGGAAAGAAATATGTGATCTATAACATCACTTTATTATATTCAAATTTCAACCACACTTTTTATTTTTTCAACCACTTTATTAATAATTATGTCAAATCAAAATGAGACACACACAATGGGACGAAGTAATCATCAATCCACATAATATACTCCATATATTATGTTGACCGAGTTTACTGATCATTTACCGGGTTGACCCTTGGGGTCTTTATCCTTGCCTCTCTCAATTCTTTTCAGTCCTGTTTTTACCCACAGTTTTTTAAAAGACCGTCGGGTGAGGCCGTGACAGCATACCCTGTTTCGCATACGGGCCATTCCACACTTGTATTTTATTCAGATCAACCGTTGCCGAGTGCCGGCAAGTATCGCCGCAGTGAAAACCATGCTGAAATTCACGAAAGGCGTCGTGCCCGGATCTCGCACGGGCCTCTAGGATCTGCCTTACAACATCGGCGAGCCTTACTCCTCTGCTTGGTGCTCTTCTGTTCACTTCCGCGGAAACTCCAAAGTAATCCATCTTTCTTTTTGTTTCTTGTGATTTATTCAGTTCGAATTTCTTATTGGTTTCTGTTTCGTAGTAGATACATCATACATATTGAAAGTGGTTGAGTAATCTATGATTATACCTCAACAAGGATTCTTTCAAATTTTCAAGGATTATAAAGTCAAAGCATGCCAATTTACAGAATTACAGTCTATGAATAAAATGAGTTGAGCCTCAACTAATAATTACAGAGTAGATTAATTACACATGTACTTCCTATAATGTTCTACTGTAGGGAGGAGGATTATTAACTCAATTTATCTCAACTATTACCAAATTTACAAATCTATCACATTCTTTAACTTTTATAAAAAAAGACTCAACCTTTAATTGTTCTCACAACTACACTTTCAATGGATTAATTATTAATTAAATATTGAAGAAGAAAACCAAATTACAAGTGGAAAACTCGCATTGCTTAATTTTTTATAGAAAACCAAATTTCTACTATACTATTAAAAAATTACAAGTGGTGAAGTTTATATTACTTATAATAATAAATCATATTATAGTGCATAACATATGAAAGATAACTAGAAAGATAAAATTGTAACGCACAACTATAAAAAATAGTTCAATGTTTTCTTGGAAACAAATAATTTTATTAAACAATAAAAAATAGTGATCAAGTTACTCTAGCAACTTCTATAAAAACAGAACTATATACAACATCATCATCCAAGCCTTAGTCCCAAAAACACAACTATTTAAACTAGTTAATTCACTGACAATAGAGTATAATTTTATATTAATTTATACATTTTATGTGTAAATGTTAAGTTATAGATTATTATATAGGGTTACTATCTTAATATTTAATTGAAGTTTTTGCTAATTCTTGGAAAAAATAGAATTAAATAATTAATAAAAATTTAAATAATTTAATTAAATATAATAATATATAAAAAGTATTTAGATTGCTATAAATTTGTAATTTTGAAAAATCACAACAGGAAAGTGTAATTGTTACAAAATATCAAGTTTGAGCCTTTTTTAAATAAAAGTTAAAGAATAGAATAGATTTGTGAATTTCATGATAGTTAGGGATATAATAAGCTAATAATCCTAGGGAGAATGCATTTGTTTGAGAAGAAGCAATGATATAAAATATCCCTACATAAATTGATACTCTATTTTTTTATCTATAATAAAAATATGATTTACATTAAATGTTAACAGTACGCATTAAAAGTTTATAGTTTATGTATAAAACTATAATTCTTACATTCAACATTATTTTTTTTCGAAAATGATACTCGCTCCGCCCCGCTAAGATTGTCCCATTTTACCTTTCCGGGAAGTCCCACTAAGATTGTCTCATATCAAATTTGGTAAAGTTTGTGTGACTCTAAATCATTCTTACTTTATTTTTACTTTTTCAATTCAATATCAACCACATAAACTCACTTTTCTTAATAAATGTACCACCTTCTTCCGTCCCAATGTTAGTGGGACGAAGGTAGTATTAATCTCTGTTCTAAAAATTGTTCTAGGTGTCCGACTAGTCCCCGCCTAGGCGCTAGGCGGTGGTCGGGCGCTGCGATTTTCGTCTAGGCACTCCGACTAATTGGTTTGCCGTCTAGGTGAATTAGTCAGCCGCCTATGACGCCTAGTTGCCCGCCCAGAGCGTCTAATTGGCCGCCTAGGCTATCTAGATTCGCCGAACATTACTTTACTTTTTAATTTTTATTTTCTAAGCGATATACGTACTTTAACTTTAGCAAAAAATTTAAACAAATGAAGTTGTAAATTAAGATAAAAACTATATATGTTTTTGTATATAGCTAAATTTTATTATTATTTATATTTATAACATAATGAAGTTAAGTGATTAGTTATCATATACTACGTATGATTAAATGTGTTAATTCTATCATTCATGTTTGTAAATGTATGTGTATATATGTATTTTATACACACAAAAATACAATATTAATAAACATATTTATGCAAAATATAGATAAAAATGCAATTTATATGTCTCCGACTAGTCGTCCGACTAGCGCCTTTTAGAACATTGGTATTAATTACCATTAAAGTACTAATAAAATATATGTAAACATCCTCTAAAGATATCGATGTTCACCTAATTTTTTAGTTTATTTGAAATCTTTGAACGGGAAAATTGTCTTACCCCTCTATTGATAACAAGTTGGTTGAAAAATCAAAAAATAAGAGAAATATCGTGAGTAGCGTAGATATTTTCATCCCTGAGAAGTTGACTTAGGACACACAATTTTGGGCATTCAATAATCAATACTACTAGAGTTGTAGGGTCAACTCAAAGTTTTTTAATAATTTTTGTGATAAGACGAACCAAATCAAGAAATACTTTTATATTCTTTACGTAGAATTTCGTTTGAAGACCAATTTTCTGTTTTGGCGCTAGGTGTTTATTTTGAAGGTTGAGAAATGCAGATTAGGATGCACTCTATTCTGTATGTTTTATTTTTTACTATGCAATCTTTCACAATCCTACTACGATTCTAACTGTTTTTCACATGATGAAAGAATAATACTACAAAATCTCTTAATGCTAAATTAAATAGATGGTTCTATTATGTGAGAAATACAACTAATTATATTACAGCAGATAAGTATATATATCTTTATTTTTACTCAAGTATAGGCGTATAGCAATAGTAGTAGTCATAAAACCAAAAAAGCCTAAAAACTCATACCCAATCTGTGCCCAAGCTAATTTTATTAAATTTAAATATGATTTCTAATTTTAAATGTGTAAATGGTAACTAGAACAAGAAAAAGTTCATAAACCCTTGTGCAAGTGAGTGGATGCCAAAACTGCTTCAACTGTTGCTGCTGCCACCTCCACCAACTCATTATGCTGCTTAAGGGTTGGTTTGCAACTGTTTTTAAAAAAGAACTTCTCAGCTTTTAGCTTTAAAAAAACACTTATTTTCCCAAACACTACAACTTTTATTTTTTTCGGCTTCCGCGTCAAAAGTGCTTTTACTTTTCTATTACACAAAAAACACTTATTTTACCAAACACTACCCACTTTTACTTTTCAAAATCACTTTTTTCTCAAACACTATCAACTTTTATTTAAGCACTTCTCCTCATTTCATTAAAAAAAGCACTTTTTTAAAAGAAGAAGCTGTTGCAAACAGACCCTAAGTCACTTGCTCGCCAATACTCGCCCAAGTCATTGTCCCGTGCCACAGAATCACTGTCCTGTAGACCTCATTATCCGCAAGTCACTGTGTCCTCTTATCGTCTAGTCCCCTCCTAAGTCCCAACCATCTCAGTACTGCTAGCTATCTGTAAGTGATCAATATACAAAATCATTACCAAAATTTAAAAGTTACCTACCTCCACCCATTACTAAATGTACCAGTTCTACGACTATGAGTGACCAAATCCTGCCAACCACCAACCAGTCCTAAAGTATCTTTTGTTGAAGAAGACAAATGAAAAGAACCGGATGAAGAACTGTTTATATCTAAACTGAAAAGAAAAACACATTGGTGAACGAAATCTGGTGGAGGTGGATGAGTGGATCTGTCCAGATCAGGCTTCGTCCAGGTGCACCCTGCACCCCTCCCATATGCTGTTCTTGGTAGATCTGGATGGGAGTGGTAGCGTAGGCCTTGTCCTTCAAACTCGTGGTCAACTTTGGGAGTGTTGACTGTTGAGATTGGGGCAATGGAAGGGGGTGGTTTACTGGTTTGTGAAATCTAGCCGTGATGGGATGGTGAGAGGAGAGAGTAGTTGGTTGGTTGCCATGGCTAGCTGAAGCAGCACTTATATGCATAAGTGGGATAATGAGAGTGTGATGAGGTCATGAGGATCGGGGAAAAAGTGAAAGAGATAATGTTTGAGTGGAAAAGAAGACCTTGCTGCTTAAATTAAAAAGCAGAGGGAAAAATTAGAGACATGTAGAGCAAGACAAGGGATCAAGGGTTGAGAAAAAGTCACAAATAGCCCTATCAAAGGTTCAAATTAAATAATTGTCATTAAGACTCAAAAGTAAACACCTGACATTTTGGAAACTACTGCATTTAGCATTTCATCAATGTGTGAATTTATGAGCATGAATTCTTTGCTCTCATTCTCCCTTTGTTGATTTGTCTGTCTATCATTCAGCCTCAAAGAATAAAGGCATTTATTGGTATGGCGATCCAGCATGCTCCTCAAGGTATAACCATATCTCTCTTCAGATGCTGTTGTGAACGTGGGAATGTGTATGCTGCTATACAAGAAATGGGGCGTAGAAAGTATGGGAGCTCAAGTTTTTCAGACACGGGTTGTAGTGCTGGAGAGGATAGGGAGAGCTGTAAATTTGATGATTTGTACGAGTCTGAAGAGTCAGAAAAGGAAGATGGAGAAGAGAGTGATGATGATGAGATTGGTGATGATTTTAAGATTTTGGATTCTTTTGATAGGAATCAAAAGCAAAGTAATTGGCGTAAAGAGAAAATTGACGAGGTGGAGGATGAAATGAAACACCCTTTGGTAAAAGAAATATGCAGATTAGTTCAGTTGAGATCATTATGGACTCTAAAACTTGAGGGGGATCTGAGGCGTTTATTGAGAAGCTTAACAGCTCTTCAAGTTTGTGCTGTTTTAAGGTCTCAATCTGATGAAAGGGTTGCTTTGATGTTCTTCTATTGGGCAGACCGTCAATGGCGATATAGGCATGACTCGGTCGTGTATTATGAGATGCTTAGAATTCTAAGCAAGACAAAGTTGTGCCAAGGAGCTAAGCGTGTTCTCCGGCTAATGTCTCGAAGAAGAATCAAATGTCACCCCGAAGCCTTTGGTTATGTGATGGTTTCTTTTAGTCGAGCTGGACATATGAGGAAAGCATTGCAGGTTCTCACTTTGATGCAGAAAGCAGGAGTAGGTCTGGATTTAAGCATATGTAATACTTCGATTTATGTTTTAGTGAAGGGGAATAAGCTGGAGAAGGCGTTGACGTTTTTGGAACGCATGCAAGCAGTTGGAATCACACCCAATGTGGTCTCTTATAATTGCTTAATTAAGGGTTACTGCGATGTGCATCATGTTGAAGATGCATTGGAGCTTATTGCTCAAATGCCATACAAGGGTTGTCCGCCCGACAAAGTGAGTTACCACACTGTGATGGGATTTTTGTGCAAGGAGAATAGAGTCAATGAAGTAAGAGAGCTAATGGATAAGATGACGATTGATAGTAATTTACGTCCCGATCTGCTTACTTTTGAAACTCTTGTACATATGTTTTCAAAGCATAGTCATTCCGAGGAAGCATTAAACTTTTTAAGGGAAGGAGAATCCAGAGGGTTTTGTATAGACAAAGTTGGGTACAGTACAGTAGTAAACTCATTCTGTAAAGAGGGAAGGATGGATAGGGCGAAAGAGGTAGTTAATGAGATGATTTTAAAGGGATGTATTCCTGATGTGGTGACTTACACTGCTGTGGTGAATGGATTTTGCTGTTTGGGAGAGGTTGGTCAAGCGAAAAAGCTAATTGAACAGATGAACAGACATGGTTGCAAGCCAAACACTGTTTCCTACACATCTTTTTTGAATGGGCTATGTAAAAATGGAAGATCTTCTGAAGCAAGAGAGATTATGAACATGAGTGAGGATGGCTGGTGGAAGCCTAATGCTGTGACCTACAGTGTTTTGATGCATGGTTTTCGTAGAGAGGGAAAGCTACCCGAGTCTTGTGATATAGTAAGGGAAATGATAGGAAATGGGTTTTTTCCTTCTCCCGTTGAAATCAACCTACTTGTTCAAGCTCTTTGCAGAGAGGGTAGAATGGTTGAGGCGAAGAAGTTTTTAGAAGAGTGGATGAGAAAAGGGTGTGTTGTAAATGTGGTAAATTTCACTACTCTGATTCATGGTTTCTGCTTAAAGAATGATTTGGATTCCGCTCTATCCGTTCTGGATGACATGTATTTGATTAATAAACATCCAGATACTATTACATATACAACGATCATAAATGCATTAGGAAAGAATGGTAGGATTGAAGAGGCGATTGAAATGACGAAGAAAATGATCCATAAAGGTTTGATTCCTACTCAAGTGACATACCGTACGGTCATTCATCAGTTTTGTCATCACGGCCGGATAGATGATCTTGTAAAGCTGTTAGAGAAGATGTTGCGGAGACAAGGTTGCAAGACTGTGTACAATCAAGTCATTGAAAAGTTGTGCAATTTTGGAAATCCTGACGAGGCTTATAAGCTTTTGGGTAAAGCTCTTCAGACGGCTTCAAGAATCGATGCAAATACCTGCCATGTTCTTATTGCGAGTTTTCTGAAAAAAGGAAATGCTTTATGCTCATACAAGGTTGCCTGTCGAATGTTCAAGCGGAATCTGATTCCTGACTTAAAGTTGTGCGAAGCTGTGAAGGAGAAATTGATGTTAGACGGGAAAGTAAATGAGGCAGACAAACTTATGATTCTTTTAGTTGAGCGTGGATGCATTTTGCCTAAACATCAGCAGCGGTTGACTTGAGATGCAATTAGCAGTATTGAACTTTTCATATTGTGTTGATAGTAACAAGGTTATTATCCTGGGGACAGCGGATTTTGGATTTTATTACTGAAAACTATGGAATTCCATTCAACATTTGCCGTGTTGCATATTGGGTTTTGCCTGCTGCAGTTCTTTTATCGAAAGGACTTCCAAAAATTTCTAGTACGGTAATATTAAGTTATACTCCCTCCGTCCCCTTAACTTTGTCCCATTAAGTTTGTCCCGTACCGTATTTGGTAATATTTGTGCGGTTACAATTCATTCTTACTTTATTCACATTTTATCAATTCAATACCAACCACACAATTCCACTTTTTCTTAAAAGTTATGACACACCCTCTTGTCCCAAACATAGTGGGACAGAGGTAGTATTAATTTATTTGATTGTATTGGTGATATTTACTGCAGCTTACTGGAATTGGAACATTAAGAGGTCGTAACCCTTTGGAATATTGTTCTTTGCAAGCATATATATTGTTCACTTGATTTGCTGGATGCTTCCATTAATCTTCTCAGTTGTGTTTCAATCCCCCATTCAGTTTGCACGTCTAGTTATTTTGGAAATGCAGGCATGTCAAGTAATTGTTGACAAATTTTAAGGGTGGTCACTTGGAAACAGATAAACCCTAACTAATAACGGACTGTTTTGCTTTGAGGAGTGTAATTACGGTGTCATCCAAGAGATAGGTGTTCCATTCGATTTTACAAACTCAAGTTCATAATGATAGGCTGGCATAGGACTTGATTTATTATTCATCCTGTCCTGCCTCAGCTTGAATCCTACTTTCTTTTTATTTGAAGCAGACATGCAATGCGAGGAAGAAAGTTGAGATTTTGGTTATGTGAAAGGCGAGGAACTAATGATTGAAGTTTCATCAAGGGATCAAGTAGTGCTTTGAGCTCATCAAGTAGACATTCAAAGATGTTACGTTTCGAGGGGAAGACTAGTAAAACATGTTTGGAAGGAAACACAAGCAAGAAGATGAATCTTGCGGAAGGAGGGAGACAGTTTCTACTATACATATATATATATATATATATATATATATATATATATATATATATATATCAATTTGTCAGATCTGTTCAGAATATTGCAACTAAGCACCATCTAGATTGGTAATTTGGTGACTTGTAAGGTATACTTTGAGCACTTCAAATCCCTTTAATTTGGAGCTTTTCAAGTCTTCATCCTTTCAATTCCAAGTCCCAACTATGTTACTGTCGGTCCCAATTTTTGTCTTCCATCTATCATCAAGAAATAATATCCAAGGGTCATGAAGATAATTTAATAAATGAATTGTTTCTTTCTCCAACCAAAAATCTGATTCAAAGTTGACTAAAAAAGTTAGTGGTGGCAAATGTCCAAATGACAATGGGCCAGTTTCTTGGCCGGCTGTTTATAGTGTTAAACACTTAAACCCGGGGATTAGTCGTTAGACAGTCGTTAGACTGTGTTCGGGCCAGGAATGAGTTGGGCCAGAAATGTTCGCCCGTCCATTTCTTTGGACTTCTATACATTTCAAGGATGGCCTTTATAACGCTTCTTTTTTCTAATAAAATGTGGTTTTTAAAAGTTAAAACTAATATGTACTGATATTTTAAAAGTTCATAAAATTGTGCTAAACTCAGTATAAGAAAATTTGAACTTTTTAATTCTAGTAAATTTGGTAAAAACATGGCGGATGTTCTAAATAGCAATCAAGGGCGGCTCTAGGCCCACCAAAAATATCCAGTTTCTGATCTTTTCATCAGAGGTGAGTAGGTTGATTTTTCGGCCTTAATATTGTAGTAATCTCATTCGGCCCTCAAAGAATTTGAATCATAGCGGTGAAAATTGTATAATACGAGACTCTTCCTGTTGCTGAAGGATTAATAGCTTGATTTCTTAGCTTTGAAGTTTGACCTTATTAGAGTAATAGGCTGATTTCTTCAGCCTTAACATTGCAATTAGTGTTGGACTCGGGCCGGATCGGGCCTAGGCCCGGGCGGGCCTTTGAGGGTTGGGATGAAGGCCCGGGCCCGGCCCGGTCGGGTCTATGTTAATTTTTTTTGCTTTTCTAATTAATCCCTGACCCCCCCCTACCCCCACCCCCCCAAACCTTACCAAAACACCCAGCCCAACTCGGGAAAAAGCCCCAAAAAATGAAAAATGAAATTAAAAAAATACCCGAATCGGGCCCGGGACCGGTCGGGCCGGGTCACCATTTCCTACACCCGAGCCCGCTCCCGCTAAACCCACCGGGTCCGGTCGAAGCCCGGTAATATAACCGAAGGACCGGGCCGAGCCGGTTCACGGGCCGGGCGGCCTGACCCGAGTCCATGACTAATTGCAATATTCGAACCCCCGTTAATTAACACATGTGAGATTTACCTAAATGGGAGTAATTAAATTCTTGATTGTCAAAACATGAGTAAAGTTTAAAAATTCCCTAAATATAAGTTATTATTGGTAGCTGGACAAAAATACTCATAAAGCATGACATAATAGACTCCCACAGACTGACTGCCTGACAGACCACCTCCGGATGTCTCTGGCCGCTGGCCGTCTCCGGCCACCGCCTCCGCCATGCTGCTGATCGCTGCGCCGCTGCCACCGCAACCTCAAAACTAACCGCCGCTGCAAATCAGATCGCCGCCGCCATAGAACTGACTGCCTTCTCCCTAGATCGAGCCAGATCTGGCCTCTGCCAATCGCTGACCACCACCCCTGCAGATCCAGCCTCCGCCACCATAGATCCGGCCGTCACCGCCACAGATCCGGCCGCTGCTATAGCAGATCTGACGAACGCCATCGATGCCAACTTTTTTATTAAAATGCCAACCTAAATCGAGAATGCCATCTTAATGGCATTTCCAAAGAAAAATATGAAAATTTTTAAGAATAAAAATGCCATTTTGATGACATTTTCAAAATAAATTGGCAATTGTTACTACCAATTACTCCGTAGCATTTACTCAAGACATTAGAACCTTCCAGAAGCCAAGTAAACCAGGCCAATTTGATTTCAACCATTAATGACAAATATCGAGCAATTAAAAAAAAACCAAATGAGGAAGAAGAAGAAGAAGAAGAAGCAAATAGACAACACAGATGCAAATCGACGGGAAAGAAGAGAGAACACTCCAGAGCTTGCCGCCACCACCACACCAGATTCAGACGGGAAAAATTTGCTGAAAAAACAGACCTGACGCTGGAAGCCGCTGCTCGCCGGCGCACTCAACCGATGCTCGCCGGCACACTCTGCCGCTACTCACCGGAGATACTCCCCGTCTCATAAAGGCATAAAGCTTGGTCAATTTGATTTTTATCAATAATAATAAACTTTAAACAACGATTTTAGTTATGATATTATTTATGTGAAATTTATAACTTCTTTCATACTTTTCTCAAAGTTTTTTTAGCAATGAACATTTTTAGATGCATGATTTTAATATTTTAAATAGTTTCATATTAAAAAATTCTTTGGTTAAACTTGACTATCAGTGATCAAGAAAAGTCAATATATACCTAAATTTTGTTTAACGGATGGAGTATATTTTTATATGTGTATATGCATGTATATATGAAACATATACCCATTATGTTTTTAGAATACCCCATTTCCTCTAATAATTATCAACTAATGTATATACATTTACGGATTGTAAAAGAGGTGAGGGGAGCTAGTAATCGAGTTCGTGTAAGGTATGGCTCGTGTTGACAATTTATGAGCCTTGTACTATACACCCTCTCCTCTGTATTCAACTACCCATCGGTCATTGAATGTCCATCTCTATACTCACAACTGCCCATTAATAATAACAATGTGACAATAACAACTTCTCTGACTGACCACTATATATTATTCCGATCAAAACTCCCATTTTTCGTCATTGAAAGGCCTTAAGGAAGGAAACTATATATCTTCTTTGCCGTTTGACCAAGTGAAGGAGGCCAGGGAAAGTGTCACGGTATTTTTTTCAATTCATAGGATAGAGAGATGGGAGATGGAATAGGGAATGTGATTGAGAAGGTGAAGGAGATGCTGAAGGATAGGGCATCAGACAATGTGGTGGTGGGACGCTTTTTGAATCATGAAAATCTTGGGTATTATAGCCCTTTTGTGATTGCAGCTTTGGTCATACTTGTCTTCCTCGGGTTCTGCGGTTGCTGCTGCGGTGCCGGACTTTTTGGCCTTGGCGCTGCCGGAGGGACAGCCGCCGTCAAGGGGATGAAGAGGAAGCCAAGGAGAAGTCCTTCTTCCAAGAAAGCTAAATGAGAAGTTTTTCTTTCATTTAACTTCTTGGTGTTTCTTTTATTAATTAACTTCTTTAGGCAAAAGTCATGGTTTTCCAGAATTTATAATTATTGAAAGAGAGCTCTTATCTTTCCTTGTCATAACCCTATGTTTCTTTTGATTGATCAAGTCAATTATGATTGGTGAGTGATGCAGTACCTCACATATAAATTAGAATGTTATGTACCTATAATACATTTGATTCATCCAAATCATTATCTTATTATTTATTACGGAGTAATATTTAAATTATTAAATTGCAATATTCTAATTCGTGTACCTACATTAGGTACGAATGTACGATGCCTTGATAGTACGGTAGAATTTGTCTTATTATTACCTGGTTTGGCTTTTCCAAGTTATGGTTGTTTTAATTTTTTGCTAAATTCATTTGCTCCCTTTAAAATGTTATATTTTCATAGATTTTCTAATTAAGAGTCCGTTTGATAGCACGAAAATCAGCTGATTTGATTTAATCTGCTGAAATTTATGAAGTTCTGGTTGAAGTTACTGCATTGGCTGATTCTGCTGATTTAAGCAAAAATTATTTTTAAAATATATTTTATTAATAAAATAAAGAAAAGTTATATGTAAAAATAACTAAAATTGTCATCTACACTAACTTCAACCAATACAGGCAGAAAAGTAACTACAATCTTACTTTTTCTACTTATTACACAATTCTGCGCGCGAAAGCAATAATTAATTGTTTGGTAAAAAAAAGTTGGCTGATAAGCCTCATAAGCCGTAAAACATTGTTGTCAAACGGCCTCTAAAGTGATATGGAGGTGATTCGTATTGTAATAGAGAAATTCCCCCATTTATTTGGATCCGGAGCCTCTACCTTACTTTAGAGTAAGGTAGAGTGCCTTGCTTCCTCCCGATCGTCCGATTGACAATTCAACGGTCGGAGATCTTGGGCTCCACTTTTTTGCCAATCTTGAGGCCGTGTTGGCCGCTCCCCTTCCGTCCGATGCGCAAGACACCCTCCTAGTCGGGTAGAGGATCTTAATCCCATTTATTTACCCTCATTATACGGTTTACAATGTATATCAAACATTCAAACTGAGAGCCCGTTTGGTAACACTAAAATTGGCTGTATTGTCTGATCCTGCTGAAATTTATGAAGTTCTGGCTGAAGTGGCTGTATTGGCTGATTCTGCTGATTCATGAAAAAAATATATTTAAAATATTTGTAATTAATAAATAAAATAAAAAATTATATGAAAAAATAGTTAAAATGATCCTCTACAGGCCAATACAGCCAGAAAAGTAACTCCAATCTTACTTTTTCTACTTAGTACATAATTCAGCGCGCGAAATCAAAAGTTAAGTGTTTGGTAAAAAAGGTAGTTGAAAAGTCTGATAAGCCGAAAAAAGAGATCATCAAACGGGCTGAAGATCCAAGCAGTAGACCTGCACAAAAGCGGGTTCGGGCCGGGCTCGGGCCGGGCTTTCCATAAGTTTTCTGCCCATCGTGTGTGGGCGGGCCCGGCCCGGCCCGCAAAAACGGGCCTAACCCCATGTCCATACCCGCCCGTAAGAGCGGGCCGGGTAGTCCACCGGGCCGCCGGGCCCGGTAAAATTTTAGATTTTTCAAAATTATGTAATTTATTTAATACTTTATAAATAATATTAAAACATTTAAAAAATTGCTAATACGCTTATAATGTATATAGGCCTTTCATCACATACACAAAAAATATTCACACAAAAATAATAATGAGAAACTATATCTAAAATTTTAAATTCAAGCATAAAGTATTATCTTTAAGTACAAAAATAGATATTATATTGGTTGGACTATTTGTTAAGAACTAAAAACTTAAATTTAAACATAATAAACTATAAATATGTACACAGATAAATTAGTAAATATGAAAATATACAAGTGTACATGTAAATAAATACATAAATTAGTATATATAAAAATATATATGTATATATACTAAATGTAGCGGGCCGGGCTTATCGGCCCGAACGGG